CTGACTCTGCTGTATACTATTCTGTTATTTAAATGTACCATAACTTACCCATTATGCTGTCTACACTCATTTCACATTTTTTACTAGTAGGAGTGTGTATAGAAAAAAACCAAACATGTATTCTACTGTAATACATTATACATTTAACAGATTATGAATGTGGATTTGATGGTGTGTTTCTTACGCATTATTCTGCTATCTCTGGTAGGTAGTTCAAGAGAAGGCTTTATAAATTGCAAGAACTCAAAGTTCTAAAGATTTTATAAGCTTTCCACTTAGGAACTATGGATATTGCTATTTGTCATTTCCTGTCACTTGAAATATAATCCCTTTATTAAACATTTTGATGTGAAATTTAAAATACCTTTTATAGTTTCTTATAAAGAAACAGCATGCTTTGACTTTATGTGACTTGATTTAATAAAATTCAATGTATGTATTACTTGATCATTTTTTTTAGAGGTGTTTTATACTGGATAATGGGAAACTTGACACTACCAGGATTGTATACATCTCTCAAGATGGCGTTAGTCACAAGGAAGTTTTGATTAGCAGAATCCAAGATACTTAAAATTTCTTTTGGGCTTGTTCCCGTTACTACTAAAGATGATATTTGTGAGATCATAAATGGCTAGAATGCCAAATTACTGGAAACTGTTGATTTTACAAATGCTGACCAAAAATGGTGTAACTAATTTATATTGTTTAGAAATGTGTCCTTGGAACCTTGAAGATTCTGTGTTTTGTCTTCCTTCTTGGCTGTTTACCTGTAGATCCTTTTATAGGTTTCTTATATATCTTCTTGAGACGTGGTGTGCTTCTTTAACTTGAAGACTCAGTTTTTTCCCTTCCTCTTGAAAGTGTTCAGTTATCAGTTCAATCATCTTCCCGCATTGTTTCTATTCACCTCTTTTTCACTATGGGGAGCTTTTCATTCTGTCTTCTTTGTCTCTTAACCTCTTCCAGCTCACTAAATCTTTTAGCTTTACTTATTACTTATTTCATTAAGTATTGTTCGGTTTGCTTTTTTAGATTTTTACATACTTGGCAGTATGTCATTCTTGCTTGTTCATGATTTATTGGTATTGCTTTAAAATTCCAGTGAGTTCATTTTTCCTCTGGTGTGGGAATTCTTCCTTGTTTTGGAGAGCAAGTAGGACTGTAAAGATTGTCTTTCATATGACAACAAATTTCTGTGTGTGGGTTGTACACGTATTCTGTTAAATGTATCTCTTGTGGGAGTTCTGGAGATTTATGGAGCAGTTTATGGAACACGATGGGACAATGTCACATTTGAATTTTCCTGGCTTACCACTCAGTGCAGGAGCCTGTTTCAAGCTCCCTAGCTCTCAAATTTGAGGCCTAACAGCTTCCAACATGATTGATGGTTGAAATTCTACCCCCAAAATCCTGCATTAAGTTCTTTATCCTGGTGGGTATCTCTGAGTTCTGCCAGTGTCTCTGGGATGCAGAAGTTTTATTTATGCAGTTATTTGAAATCTGCTTAAATTAACAGGGGTGGAAAATGAATACAGTTCTGTGTTGCCTAACAGTATTGTGGTCAGCAAGGGTGCATATACAGTGGTGGTCGCAGAAGATTATAACGGAGGGCTGGGAATGTAACGGAGAATACAGTACTTGCTTAGCATGAGTGAGGCCTTGAGTTCCACCCCCACCACCAGGAAAAAAAAAAAAAACACTAATGGATTGAAAATTCCTGTTACCTAATGACTTTGAGGCCATTGTAGTTATAGTGCAACACATTGCTCATGTGTTCATGGTGATGCTGGTGTAAGCAAACCTACTCACTGCTAGTTGTATAAAATATAGCACATGCAATTATGTATAGCACATAATACTTTATTGAATTGACTACAGTTATTGTTACTTTAAAGTGTGTACATACTTGTAAAAAATTGACTATAAAAGAGTATACTAGTAGAACCCTCCTAGGAGCTCATACTTACTGCATCTTTTGATTGCATCAAGAACCCATGCACGACGATTGACTGACATAATCTAAGTTTGTGTTAGTACCCTGTGATGTTCACTGTGATGGAATTGACTAATGATGCATTTCTCAGAGTGCATCATTAAGTGACCCTTGATGGTATCTTGGACCATTATAGGAATTACTTGTTAAACCACAAGGGCTGGTATTAGAAATTCAGCCAGAACCAAAGCAGCTTTATTCTTTTCTTTTTCACCTAGATTGTATAGTTTCTATTTCTGTGCTATTGTCTCATTATAAGCTATTTTTGCAGTTTGGATTTCTCTTTTCTCCTTGCTCATGGCTGTCCTAACCTGGTTCTACATCAGTCAACACACTGAATAAAGGCCCTTTAATAAGAGAGGGTCTGGTTGGCCTAGCATGGATTCATTATCCATGTTAGAAGGAATTGCTATGTGTGAAGTTAGGGAACTTGCTTATGTGGTGAAAGGGCTATTCCATCTAGACTGAGAGAGGTAGTCATGTTCTCTTAGAAAAATTTCAGGACTGAAAGGTTGTGCATTTCTGATACAGAAAGTGGAACAAAGTTCAGCTTTCAGCAGTCTATGGGCTACTGCAAATGGATACTGCTCCATGTAATTGTTTCTCTTGCAGAATGTGGTTAGACTATAGTTATACAAGTTAATCCTTCTCAGCTGTAAACATTGTTTTGCTCCTGTTCAATAAAGATACCGAAAGAATTATCTTTATTGATTTTTCAGTTACTATTTCTGACATCCTATGAACTAGCGTTGCAGTAATGTTCCTCTTACTAGCTACTTCCTGAAACTTTGGCCCTAGACAGGTATCTCTCTGCAGATCTGCCGTTCCCTTAAGATACTAAACAGGCTCCTCCACTTCATAGGCTTAAAGTTTTCCTAAGTTTCTTTTTTTCCTTTACCAGTGGGATATCTTTATTCTGTTATCTTTTACATTGTATAATAGTTGGGTAGTGTCCAGTTGGATAGTGTTAATTAATGGGGAACTATATGCATAGATCATTCTGTTCTCTTGCTGTTTCTGTGTTTTATATGATCAGTAGGGGCTTCAAGAATGTTCTTGTTAAGCCCAGGACAGTTCTGGTTGCTAGGCATCTGAAAACCCATAGATTAGGGGAGAACGGCTAATTCTTCATTGGATTTGCTTATTAAGTCTGATGAAATCCAGTTCCTATTAATTATGGTTTGTCATGTTTTATCAAGAAATGCTGTGTTTCTTAGAAGGCCAGTCCCATCTTAAAGGATGTAAAAAGGATACTTTCCATGTATGTTTTGGCTCCCTGATGCATGTCTGTCTCCATTGTTGTAGGGACAAGCTGTGGGGGGCCTGTGTCTCCATCCTGGCTCTCCTGCCTCGAGTCCTTAGGCTGATGCTGCAGAGCCTGCGGGTGAACAGAGTTGGACCTGACGAGCTACCTGTAGTTGGCCAGCTACTTCGCCTGCTGCTTCAGCATGCTCCCCTCAGGACTCACATGTTGACCAATGCCATCTTGGTGCAGCAGATCATCAAGAATATCACTGTAAGAAGCATATTGCCAAGGCATTTGTATTGTTAGTATAGGAGTGGGTTCATGGGTCGGGCAGGGGGCTGCTTTGGGGAGGGTGGAGTTCCTGTGCCTGACTGACTCCTTGAGTTAAGCCCAGTGTGTTAGTTTCTTAAAACTTCCCCTATTGTCTAGGTCCTGCCTCTGTGACTTAACCAAGGGGATGCCTCATGATTCCACAACTGGTTTTTTAAAAAAGTCGTAAAATACTCCAGGCACTTTGGTTGGAAAAGGTACAGGCATCAAAGTTGTTCCCACCTGTACTCTAATCACACTTCATTGTGATAGCCTGGCAAGTTTTTTTCCTTATCTAGTCCAGCTTATTTTCCTATCTATACCAATGGGAATAATGCTAATTTTTTGTATTATTTTTGGGTTTTGACAGCTATTAAATGGGATTGTCCAGGTGAGGTGTTTAACGCACGTGACACTTACTGAGCACTTACTGTCACCTATTATTGAGGAATCAACTCCAGTTTAATTTCTAATCATTAGTTCACTGGACAGTAAGATGAAATCAGAAGAAGGTGGTTGAGCAACCTCTGGCTTTGCCTCTTGGTGGCTTTCTGCCTTTGGCTGCTCTGTCTTTTAGGGGACAGCTTTGTTGGATTCCTGGTGTTTTTGGTTTGGAAAGGTTAAAGAAACTTTTTTTTTTTTTTTAAAGAAACGTTTTGTATAGGAGTTTGGGGTTTTCTTTTTCTTTTTCTGTTTTTTTTTCCTTTTTTGAGACAGGGTCTCGCTGTGCAGTTCAGGCTGGCCTCAAGCTCTTCGTGATCCTCTTGCCTCATCCTCCCAGTGAGGGTTTTCATTGAAATACATAGTCATACTTTGGAGTGGTGAACCTTTTATATGTAAAAGGTGTTCATTCTGAATTTTTTTGAGGAGTCCTTGTAGAAGAACTGGAAGAAACAGTGGAATAATTCAGAAATAGTAGAAGGGAGGAGTCCCAGATTAGAGAATCAGCCTACCTCTGTAAAGGGATTAACGGAAATTGTCCAGTTAGTCCAAAGAATTCATGAGACACGAGAGTCCCCAGGAAAGGGGAGCGGGGTGTACAGATGGTTAACGGGGCAATCTGTGAGTGTCTGTGCACAGAAGGGAGCAGACTCAGAGGAGCTGGTGATACTCTAGAACATAACTACCATTTTTCTGGGCTTCTTTTGCTGTGGTAGCGCCCAGTTAATAGTTCCTTTTTTCTTGACAGACTTCCTGGAGTGATGTATATAGATGATGATACTTGTGCCTAGGCTTTGAGAAATGAGTTAGTTGTAAAAAATGCTGCTGTGTGGCGTAATGATTTAAGTATGATTCTGAAGTTACCCTTTTCTCTGCAGACAATGAAGAGTGGTGGTGTTCAGGAGCAGTGGCTCACAGACTTACATTACTGCTTCAGTGTGTATATCACTGGGCATCCCCAGGGGCCTGCTGCATTGAGTACAGTGTATTGAAGACGCCCTGTGATACCTCCTGTTTGAAATTGTTTATTCACATCTATCTTATTTTGAAGAGAGAGTGATGTAATAGATGTTTGTCATTAAAGCTAAACTTTTAAAGAAGTTGTTTGTGAACTTTCCTTTGCACTAAAATAGGGAAATGATGCTTGGAAGTCCCCACTGGTGCTCAGGCTGGATTCCTGAACTAGTACATGATACAACTAGTGCATGATACATGGTTACAAGTAGTAATGCACTTTACATTTCATAGGTGTTAGAGATTTACAAAGTAACAGTGATACTCTGGCAACTTGTGTATTTATTAACCAGTTAACTGAATTTTTGTGATGTCATCTAGGTAAACCTATTTGTGTTTTCATAATTCTGAAAATAATGACTATTCAACTAAAAATCAGGGTAATTAAATTAGGTAAACACTTTGTTTCCTATTACCATTCGTACAGGGGTGGTAGTGATCTTAAAAACAGAACTGACCCTAAAAATATTTGTGAGCCTAATGCCACTATCTACATTTCCTCCATAGTCTTACCCTTAAAAATGTGAAAGACCCCATATTGGTTGGAGTTTTATTTAAACAAATTTTCTTAGCTAGAACATGGATAATTTTCCCTGTCAATAGGAACGGCATCTTGTGAAGATTGCTCACCTCACAATTTGGTCAGAAAAAGTACAAGTGGGCTGTGGTCTTCAGAGGGTAAATTCAGGAACTGAAAAATGTAAAGAATCAAGACAATGTACCTATGGTCTTCTGACAGTTTCTAAATGCAGACACTGGGTCCTGATTCTGATACGAAATTTAAAACTGCTGTGTTGGAGTAAGTGAAGGTGTGGTGTCTGTCATGTGTTACAGTAGGTAATCAGGGAAATAATGTGATAACGGTGGCTGCTGTGGGACAGGCTCCTCAGGTTTATTACTTGAACCAAGAAGCCAGGCCCCTGCCACCTGTCAATGTCTCAGCCTAACAGACTCTTTGGTGCTCACATTCTGAGTTCCACTTATGTAATTACCAGATCTCATTTCCAGCCATGCAGAGGTGAAGGCGCCCAGGCAGTCCCCTGGGGCGTGGTCTGTCGTGGTCCTTTCAGTGCAGGTTGTATGAGTTAACAAACAGCACTATGTAAGAGCGGAGTGTAAACAGCTGCACATATTGAGTGGTTACCACATTTTCAGTGCAAGAAAGGTCTTAGCCATGATGCTAAAGTTTTTCTAAGACGTAAAAGACGATCCACAAAGAATCAGAACTCTACATTAGCTATTCCAGTCGTCTTCCACAGGCAGTCAAAGCTTTGGTTTGTTTTTTGATTGAGTAGCTGATTGCAGGTTATAAGAAAAGTTCTTCGATCTTCCAGTGTTCTCAAGGAGATGTATGCACTGCAAGTTGCTCACTGTTAAAAACAAATACCGTGTAGATATTCAGGTCATTACTTGTAATACTGAAGAAAAGCGTTCTTTGTTGGTAAGGGTATAGATTTAGGTTTGAGCTATTCCTGGATACAAATGAGATGGGCCAGTTTGCTTGAGAGACAGGATGACTTACTAGCTTCATGTTTTTCCTTATTTTTAAGATAGGGGATGTCACTTCAGGGAAGAACCTGGATTGGGAAGAGGCAGGTGTTTGAAGAGCTGGGACTGGAACCTGTTTCTTCAGTCTACCTGAAATAACTTAATTCACCTTTCTCTGCATGTGTCTCACATAACACGACACATACTTAAGTCTGTTCCAGAAAATTGGTATGTTGGGGAATTACTCAGATTCTCAGATCCTGAAGGATAACAGACTGGTGGCAAACTTAAAATGGATTTGGGGGGCCTTTTATGACCTTGAAGTAAATTTATAGGATGCCACAGCCAGAAAACATTAGTGATGTACTTGGACAAGTGAGGGTACTGAGGTCGGAAGTGCCTGAGGCTTTGCTGAAACATTGCTGTATTTTGCTCCTAACCTGTGGCCTTTAACATGAAAGGTCAGTAGTTTTAAAAAATAAGAAATGTGCCTTAAAATAATCACTACTTTTAGAAACTGGGCATTTTTTTTGGCTATTTTAAGTGGGACTCAACCCATGCTAAGCAAGTGCTTTACCACTGAGCTACATCCCTATCCCCTTTTAAATTTTATTTGAGATAATGTCTTGGCCAAGTTTCCAGGCTGGCTCAGAACTTGTGTTACTCCTGCCTCAGCCTCTTGAGTGGCTAGGATTGTACTTGTGTGCCTCCACTGTATTCTTGAATTACCTACATAACTCTGTGCAGGTGATAGGAATACTTTGGATTCATGGGGGTAAACCATTATCAGTACTTACTTAAGCTATCATTAATTCTGTTCAGTAAGATGGATTTTTAAGGAGAGTCTTCATTTTTAAGGAGATGGGCCCAGGATGTCTATCTGTGTCTTTGTCAATAAAAAGGCTATATTCATATTCTTTGAGGCTAGGTTGCAGGTTAGGTGCAGCAGAGATAATCTCCTGAACGTAGATCAGCAGCCCAAGAGGCTGTGTTTTCATGAGTTCCTCATTCTAATCTTCATGTTAGAGAAAGTAATAAAGCCTTAGGAAATCTTTTTCCCAGTTTGGAAGGTAGGAGCAACAGTATTTATTCACGACCTTGCGCTTGCCAGGCAGGCGCTTTTTGCCGCTGAGCTAAATCCCCAGCCCCTATTCATCAGGTATTTGAACATCTGCAGTGTACCACACAATTTTCTAAAATGGAGTAGGACAGTACTCAAAATCAGGAAATCCTTAGCTCCATTGAATTCTCAAGGTAAAAAGCTTTTATTCAAGTTGAAGACAGAAGTTAATGCTCTACTTTTTCAGTCAGTTATCTGTGATTCCATATGTCATAAAGTTAACAGGTATCCAAGTCAGGCTCATTTCTTGGGAGTTACTTCATTTATAGACTTGTTTTTGTATAGAACATAAACTAGCAGGTCTATCCAGCCAACTTTATTGATGCTTAATGTGGGTGGGGTTGGCCCTAGCAACACCTGTGCTCCCCTAACTTCAGGGTTAGGGGAGAATTATTTTATCCTTGTCTTATTCCAAGCCAGTTAGAAGTATGTGAAGGACAGACTGCTTGGTTATACGAAGTAAGAAAGTATTTCTTTATATTTGCTTACTCCATCCTCTCTAAAAATCTATGCTTCTTAAACATCCTCATTTTTAAGGATTTCTGGTAGTCCTGGATTGTTTTTCTCTTAAAACATACTGAAAAATGATCTCCTTGTCTAGTTTATACTAACATTTATCTCAGGGACGCTTCACTTGACAGTTACATCTGACAGTTCTGTTTTTGAGATCCTCTCCAATTCACTCAGGGATAAAGGCAGTATTTACATAAAACTGTGCCGCCTGGATTCCTTTGAAAGTTTCTAATTTCTCCAGCCATCACTCCCTGATCAGCCCTTCTGTTATATGAGTTACCCAACTCATTAAAAGATTTGGCAGTAATTGCTCTGTCCCCCACATCCAGGTTTTCCCCTCATCAAAAACTAAATGAACGTTAAAGTTCATGCTGACAGCCCTTGTTCACCTTGCCGGCTGCACTCTGTCCCTGCAGGGTAACCGTGGGTCAGGGGGGTGATCAGGGAGGGTGGGGGCGGCATGTTGCCATAGCCACCCGTGAGCTACACTGGACCTGGCATTAGCTGCTGACAGCACTGAACTTATCACCCACTTTTAATGCCAGTGTGAAGGAAGGAGCCCTGTGTAAAATGTAGCTTCTGTGTGAGTCACGGTGTGTATACCGAGCCTGAGGCAATGTGCTACCCGTGTTCTGTTTATGGCGCTCTTCCCATCTTTGGTAAGGAGACGGTGTCTTCTGTGACACCAGAACGGGACAAAGGTTCCCAGTGCATCCTTGAAGAAAATTTTTTCATTTCTTTATGTGAACAAGTATGTAAAAATGTTCAGTGTTAGCTATCATTTATTTCTACTAGAGGTAATGTTAATAGTTTCTCATGGTAGAAAATAACTTGGCTCTTATATAGATAGGCATTACAGTAATAATGCAATGAAAGCAATGAATGAGGGACAAAAACATGCATATATGACCATGCGAAAGCCTTGGCCATCTCTGTTCTAATGTCTTGTAATCCAGCAATAAATCAAAGATGGAAAATGCTTTCCATGTTCTCTCTCCCACTTGTTTTGCCAGAACAGTGGCTGCCTTACCTGAATTGAGATGCAGCACGGGAGGGGGTCTTGAGGGTCTTGTGGGATGATAGACTTTCCCTTCTTGAGAACAACCTGAAATCAAACAACAGCAGTCATCTGTCTTCGACCCATGACAGCTGTGGCCTGACCAAGTTCTGAATTCCTTGTGGTGAGGGCTTGAGCTTGCGAGTGTCTGCGGAGGTAAGTTAGGCATGGTGTGGAAGCAGCTGAGTATCCCATATCTGGAATGCTCAGGACCAAAGGTGTTGCAGATGTTGAGGTTCTGTTTTTGGGTTTGGGGATGTTGTGTAGACCTTACTGGCTGACTGTAAACCAAAAATCTGAAATACTCTAAAGTCTGAAACTTTGTGAACACCAGCATGTTGGGTTAGAGATGTGTACTCTATAAGATCCAGGACAAAGTCCTGATAGTTTACCACCTGAGCTGGGCCTTTCTAAAGATGCCTTGGCTCAACGTATTGCTGTTGGGGAGCATTTGGATGGGTTCTTTCCAGAACTGAAAATGTTCCCATTTGTAGCAGTTGATCTGCTGAACAGGTGTGTACTAGCATGGTTGGGTCTTGGGCATTCTCACAGATGAGCAACCTTGTGCTATCCCGGCACAGGAAAGGTCGGAGTGAGGCAGAGAGGGTCTGAATCTACAATCATCCAAATGGGTGGTGTAAGGAAGGGGACACCCATGCAAAGCTTTGAGGGTTAACACGGGGGCGCTTTCAGCCACAGAGCCCAGAGGAGACTCCTGGCTGGAAGTGCCTGGGATGAGGTGCCAAAATGCCTCACCAAACCAATTCTGACCCGGAATTGTTGGGAGTCACTAAGTGGGATGCTGAGAATCGTCCTGGTTCTCAGAATAAGAAAGTTTTGTGTTAAGTCTGAATCAAGGTTCGCACAATATAATTAGGTCTCATTTCACATCTTATTCTCGAGTGTGCTTTTTGTTTTTTTTTTTTTTCAAGTGTGCTTGTTGTAAACTATAAAGTGCCCAGAAGGTCATTTACCATAGATCTGCTTGAGCACTGAGTGCTTGGTGGACTTTGCTCCTGTGATGCCCTTGGATGGACTCCGGGGAGTCCTGCTTACTGCACTGGTCTTTGGGAGCTTGAATGCCAGTTCCTTCCTCCAAACGTGGAGGAGCAGCGCCACGCACTCGCGCTCCCATCTGGCCATGTCTGTTGCTCTGAGCTGCTTCCGTTGCAGAAGGTGGGATAGATGCTTCCTGAGCTGATAGCTGGTGGGATCAGAGGAGAGGAGAGGCTTTCAGACAACAGGATTGAGAACACCAGATTTATTTTAGTAGCATTTCAAACTATAGGAATAGTATTTACCAAACTCCTGGGAGGTTCATTCAAGCTCCCTTTCCTAATTTCAGAGGCAGGATGTTGAAATTTTTCTATTTTCCCATTGTAAAATACTTCCTGACCTACCAAGTGTCTTCTGCTGCCCTCTGCTCTGTGGGTAGAGAACTGAGGTAGGGGTGGGGGGCCAGGCTTGGTTGAAGTATTGCCTGAGGCTGCTGGAAGCTTCATTTTTCAGCGGGCCCAGCTTCCAGCCAGCCAGCTCTGCAATGGAGGCTGATTGCGTCCAGGGAACACCGTGGTCTTCAGGTTGGAGGAACATCCCCGTTCTCCCATCTCCAGGAGGACGCATTCTGGTGCGTGGGGGATCCTAACATGCCGCTGGTCCCTTCGGGCCTTGGGCTCAGGGCTCTTATGGCCCAGCTCTCCTTGCTTACTCATCTCGGAAAGCTAGAGATGACTGGAAGGGGCCTCCGCATGTTTGGGTAATAACAAAGTATTTTATGCAGCAGCTTTCCAGGTTAGCTTGTCTGGTGTCTGGTTTCGGTTTTTAAAACAGTCAAGCTTTACTTGGTAATAAAACTCATAATTGTAAGATTTAGTTTCATTTTTCTTGAGGCCCAAGTTTCAGTCTCCTCACCTCATCCTTGCCTATTTTACAGCTCCCTTTCTCCATCCTGGACATGTCCTATATAAAGATAGCCTGCGTTTCTGGAGCACTTAAATGCAAAAACCCTGTGCACTACCCCACCCCTCACTGCTCCTTAGGTTTGGTGTCAGACATGCTTTTCTAAGACAGCATTAAAAAACATAAGATGGGGACATAGTTAAATAATAACAAGCAGTGAGTGTTTTTACCATCAGCAGGTGCCACGATGTGTGGCACCCAGAAGACTTCGAGAGTCAGTGTCCCCAGACCTCAGACTGCACAGTGGTGCAGCCGGAGGGGCTGTGTGATTGCCTTCCAGATGGGTGCACCAGACTATGAGCCCACTGTTCCCAATGGGAGTGACCGAAGGCTCATTTGCTACTCCGGACAGTTACTGACAGCACCTGTCAGCTCCCAACTCTTCAAAGGAGTCAAGTAACAGAGTCTGAGAGGGAGACGTTTTAGTTAGGAAGCAGCTGCGGGGCCTCATGCAGCAAGCTTGCTGGCTTGTTTAGATCCAGGTTTCAGCCAGAATATTTAACAGTAAGTTCCCCTGGATCGTAACCAGTGCACGCCCGACATAACATCCAGGGAAGGGGAACAGCGACTGTTCCCGTCTGGGCTTCAGCGGGAGACTGTCTTGGCTCAAAGTCAGTACCTGGCACCTACCAGCTCTGGTGTGAGGAGGCTGATTCACCTTTTTGTGCTGCAGTTCCCTCATCTGTGGAATAGGGACAAGTTCAGTCTCTACCTAACAGTACTGTGAGGAGTAAACGAATGAATTGCTATAAAGCTGCTTTGCACAGTGCCTGCACAAGTGCCCAATAAATACTAACTGCCAGTATGAATGACGGTGCTGATACCAGCATGCCCGCACTCTGAGACCGTTCCCTGTGTGTGTGAGGACTTTCCCGGCAGTCCTCCAGCCTACTCAGACAAGGAACAAGAGCTGTAGCCACTGCCATAATCTTGACCACAGCAAAGACTCACTTTATTTACATGAATGTAAGTGAAAGTCCTCGAGGTATGTGTCACAGGAGCAAATGTTGGGTCTGTGCCACAAAGACAAGGCACTCTTCCTCTGAGCGGTTTGCTTGTCTAAGAAAAGGGGACACAGTCCCCGTCGTGGTGGCCTCTCATGTGGCAGGGAGATCACATGAGCTCAAGCAGACACGTGGGGAGTTTTCAAAGCTGCGCAAGCACAAGCCAGGCTGTGAGTGAGACAGTTTCTGGCATGCTGTCCCCACGGACCTCTTGCCCTGGACGTACCAAGAACTTCTCTCTTTCTGCCAGTGTTAGTGTTCTCTCAGCCTGTTCTTCTGTTTCTACTGAAATAGGCCTTGATGCTGGGCACACCTAAGCTTGTAAAGGTTCACTCCCTATATCCCCTATTAGTTCCCTCTCCCTGAGGTGGGATCACGAACTCCCACCTTTGGTGATGATGGGTCCAGCCCATCCCTGGGAACCGTCATCACTGTAAGGCCTGATCTGGAGTGTGAAGGAGATGGTGAGCTACATGAAAACTTGGAGCAAAGAACCTTCCAGTCCTCCCAAGAGGTGTTCGTCTCCATCATGGAGGTGCCTGTCTCTACCATCCTGGGACACTGACCCAATCTTTTAGGAGAGCCTGCACCCCAACTTCCAGTGTTTAACCCTTATTTTCAGCTTGACTAGATGCTCAGACGGGTTTATATAATACATTTTAGCTATTTAATCCACTATATCTAGGCCTGGTTCAGGTATTTGGAATACAACAAATTAGTTGTATTAGTTTATGTATTTCTTACATAAAAATAAAAAATGTCTTGTTTTTTTTTTTTTTTTTTTTTTTTTTTTTTTTTTTTTTTTTTTTTTTTTTTTTTTTTTTTGGTTTTTCTCCGGTACCGGGAACCAAACTCACGACCTTGCGCTTGCCAGGCAGGCGCTTTTGCCGCTGAGCTAAATCCCCAGCCCCAAGAAAAAATGTCTTATGCGTGTGTATCTTAGGGTTTATAAAGTATAAATGAATCCTAGCAACCTATCATACAAACAGGACACATGCAGCAAATTGTTAGATCCTGTTTTACTCATGAGGCATAGGTTGGGTGGGGGGGTGAATGATTTGCCCAAATTCAGACAACCTGGTAGAGCTACCCTGAAAACCCAGGCCTTGTGATTACAAACCAGGACTTTTTCCTTTACACCATACTGTTCTGGGTATATTCCTATCTTCTAGGCAAAAATACTGTACACTTAATTTATACTGTACAGGATGAATCACAAGCATGTGCAGGTGTGAGTTTCGTGGGCCGGCTCCATTAGATGGGCCTGCAATTCCCTGGGAAGACATCAAAGCATACACGGGTATCAGTAACAACCAAAGACCCACAGATGCCACAGCGCCTCTTCCTACCTTCGCCAGGCCCGCTGGATGACAGTGGCTGCCTTGTTCTTTTTGCGAAACAGATCTTTCCTACTTCTTTCTCTGTGGATTATCTGTAGCCGGAGCTCTATGGGGAGAAGGTCAATATTCATACTCGGCCCAGAGAGGAGCGCAGGGGCTGGGTCAGTCTCCTTAGACACCTGAATGCTCTCGGTGAGGGTAGATGGCCCCGGCTTCCTGGCTCCTGGCCTCACGTCCTTTTGGCTGTCTGGTAAATCTGAACAGACCCCTCCTGCGAGCTTGTCTTGTGTCACTTTGTTCCTTGGTGGGCGGTGGTGGAGAGGGTTCTGCCCAGCGTGGACCACCTCCCCCCTGGCGCTGCCAGGCCGGCTTGAGCCGGCTGGGGAGCACCTTCCTCTGAGCTCCTGAGTGCGCCTTCTCTGGGGGACACTTCTGGCCTTGGGTGCTGAGTCACGCCGTCTGCTGGGCTTCCCGTGCCTGTCCTGCAGTGGAAGGCTTGCAGCCACGCGGCCGGCTTCCTCTCCCCTGTCGTCAGGCCCGGCCCCCCTGACAGAGGAGGGCTGCTTCGGCACGCCTTTCCCCTTCTCGCACCGATGCTCTCCGGCTGTCTCACCTCTGGACTTCGCAGCAGAGGAGACTCCCGAACACCAGTCTCCACCACGGCCTTCATCGGGTCTGAGGCGGACACAGACAGAGTGGCCTTTAGAATGTTCCCTGGACGTTTCTTGGGGAGACAAAAGGGAAGGATAGTTATTGCCCAAAGCTTACACAGTAGGGCTATTATGCTGGTTTGCTCACATTTTTTAAATAGACTTGTCCTAGACAATTATGACTCGTGAAAAAAAAAACTGTTCAACCTCTCTTTCCAGCAATATGATAGATAACTGGAAGGCCTTTACTAATACCTAGAAATGCGGACCAAAATGTAAAGAACATCCTTTTAAAAGCACCATCATCACTTCAAGAAAATAAGACCAACAAGAGAAAATAAGAGAAAATTGAAAGAGTGGTAAATACGTGAGCCTAAGCAGCCACTGTCTGGGTGGGTGGTAGGGTGGAGTGGGCAGCAGGTGGTCTTATTAAACATCTGCTTGTGTTTTAAAAGGCACTGAGGAACATTAGATGCTTATTGCCAAGTGAAAGAAGAGTCTCGAAAGGCCACAGTGTATGATCCCAATTATATGACAATCTGTGAGAGGCAAAATTACGGCCTCAATGAAAAAGATAAGTTGTTGCCAGGGGTTAGGGGAGAGGGGGGACAAATACGTGGAACGCAGTGGATTCTTTTGGTAGTGAAACTGCACGGTGTGGTACTACAGTTGTGAGTCTGTGTGATTACACATTTGTTCTGCCTTGGGTAGGGTGAGCTGGAGATGTATTTGAGACAGCCAAATGAGGACATAAATAAATAACAGTATAAATATAAAAGTGGAACAAGGAAGAGCGGTCAGGACGTCTTGGCATGAAGGAGGTAAGGGAATTTGCTGCCCCCACTGCTGTGCACGCGTCCACTGTAAGGACTTGCTTATGCTCATACCGGTCACAGCTACCAGCTCGGACAGTACAAGTGATGAGGAGAAGAAAACACCCGGCTGGTCCCTGAAACAGTGAGTTTCTCCTCAGACTCTCCGAAAACCACAGTGGCACAAAGACAGCTTTATCTTACCACCTCACAAGAGCAATCTGCCACCAACTCCCCTCAGGGACGGTTTTTTGTTTGTTGCTTTTCATAGTATTTGGGATTGAACTCAGAGCCTTCGCACTGAGCTACATGCCCAGAGCCGCCACTTCCCCTTTATTTTGATACAGGGTATCATTATGGTGCCTAGCCTGTGCTTGCAGTCCTCCTGTCTCAGCCTCTCAGACTGCTGGATTACACATGTGCCCCATAGGCCTGGGCTCAAGTCTACGCTTAAGGCCACCTCCTGTTCCTCACCCTCCTGCCGCTGTTTAGCACAGACCTGATCTGGTCCCTCAAATCCATCCTCCACTCAGCCAGTCATCTTTCTAAAGATAGGCCTCTTTCTGTTTCCCCATTTGAAATAGTGGGGTTAATTACAAGAGAAGCACACATTCACAGAGTTCTTTAGGCACTGTCCTTAGAGCTCTACATGGGCTATCTCGCTGCTGGTCTCAGTTTTCTAAGGTAGGCATTATTACTGTTTTTTTTTGCAAAGAGAGAAAATGAGGCTTGGTGAGGTTAAATAGCTGGTGGAGGTTTACACAGCCAGAGAGCGGCAGAGTCTAAGTGCAAACTCAGGCTGTGTGATTCCAAAGCTTGTCCACTTAGCAAATATGATGCATAAATTATAAACTAGCAGAAAGGAACCGTTAACTCAGAGAAAAAGGAAATCGCCTGCTGAAAGACTTAAACTCTACCCGCTTTCAGGGCCTCACTTTCCTGGCTTGTCTGGAAAAGACTGAACTAGATGCTGTGTGAAGACCCACAGCTCTAACATTCTCCATGAGACAGGGCGCGGGAGAGAGCGAGGTGGTGAACATCTCCTGTTTCTGAGCTCTTGCTGGTGTGCTCCCCTGCGAAGGTATAGCCTGTCTGAACCCCGGTCCACTGAAGCAGCTGTGGCTGTTTATGTGGCCAAGCAGTGTGAGTTGTAGTTCAATCCCAAATACTATGAAAAACAACAAACAACCTTTGCCGTATGATGTGGGGGTTCCCTGGGAACACGATGCCAGAGAGGTTGGAATTAATGGTCCTTCTTGATTCCTGAAAGTATCTCTCTACTTTTCTTTGTACTGTGGCCTCTTGAGCAGATGAATGGGATAAAGATGGCCCTTGTTCCCTCTCCTTACATCCAAGTCAGGCCCACTAGCCTGTGGGCCTTCAGCTGGTCCCCAAATTCTCGATGATGGGTTTTTCTGAGACCTCATTTGCACATTTGAATCTGGCTCATCACAGAAGTCCCTTAATAACAGTACCGCTTCCTGCTCTCAAGTCAGCAAGAAGCTGCCTACCTCAGAGTTGTTCTAGAACACTAACTAAATTTTTTGACAAGAAATAAGTCTTCTGCTGTGGCCTAATGTACTCATATGCATGCATATACCTACATACATACTCACATATACATGTACACAGGTAACATTGAAAGAGATACTAATACCTTTATAATGTGCAGGGTGCATTGGTATTTTAAATTGACTGCAGTCTATTCTATTAGAAGGAATAGAAATACTAGGGTTTGGCCCAAGGCACTAAATTCACCTCATAATCGTCATACACTCCACCAGATCACCTTGAGGGAGTCTAACGAGAATCAGTGTAATGAACGGACAGGACTTGTCATTAGAACCTGAAACAACATCGAGTTTTCAGGATGTGAAGCCACGCTACCAGACTGTGACTGGTCCACGGCAGACCTGACTGGCCTTGAGGGATGACTCTTCCAGGATGGCTTACAACAAGGCTAATGTGAATCACCTCCCCTGTGCAGCTGTAAGTGTGAAATTACTGTGCTCCCCGATCCCTCTGCTCTGTAGGGCTCTGGACTAGGGAACCATCTGTCCATCCGAAGTAACAGGGATTAAGTGTAATTCTGGGAATAGACAGTAAGCCCCATGTAACCAATGTTACACCCACTGCTGAGGGAAAAAAGCTGATGGTGTGATCCTTACCCTTAATTGAGAATTCAGTACAGCGGGCACATAGCATGGCTTCAAAAGCATCTCTGTTAAATGAATGCATGCATAAGTGACTTAGCGAACAAGAAACAAATCTTTGCCACAAAGTGGGATTCTGTTACTGAGTAGACACAATGAATACTTTTTGTCCTGTGTTTAATGACCTATCTTTCATCTCTGCATCTCTAGCACCTAGCAAATACCATCCACCTATTCATTTATTAATTCATTCTTTTTTTTGTTTGTTTGTTTTTGTTTTTCTCCGGTACCAGGAACTAAACTCATGACTTTGCGCTTGCCAGGCAGGCGCTTTTGCCGCTGAGCTAAATCCCCAGCCTCTATTAATTCATTCTTTTTTGTTTTTTTGAGATAGGGTCTTGCTGTATAGTGCAGGCTGAACTTGAGCTCACTGTATAGCCCAGGCTGGCCTCAAACTCACAGTAATCCTCCTGTCTCAGCTTCCCGAGTGCATACAGGGAATACAGGTGTGTGCCACCACGCCCGGCCCAACTGTACATTTAATAAATACTATTTTATTTTTTGTGCTTCAGACCAGGGAGACAGAAGTAGGAGATGTTGCCTGCCATGGCAGATTGTTTAATGGCCAAAGAGTCTTCCTATCCTAATATGTACTTCATTGCAATATAATTTTGGCACGTCTTCCACCCAGAAGTAGCATTTGTTTCTTCACGCCCTTGAACCTGAGCTGGCATTGTGACTTGCTGTGATCAAGAGAATGTGGTAGAAGTGACGTGAAAGTTCTGAAGTCTAGGTCTTGTGGCTTCTGCCCTCTCTCAAAGCACTGTTCTGAGAAGTGTATGTAAGGAAGATGGTCTAACGTACTGGAGAACAAAAAGCCATACGCAAGAGAATCGAGTCACCTTTGTCATCGTTCAGCGCTACGCCACACTGGGCCTTCCTGCCTAGCCAGCCCTTCAGCAGCTGCATTAGAGAGTCCAGGTGACCAACAGAGGGACTGCTCAGCTGACCCAGAGAAGTATGTTTAACCTATAACCACTTTGTTTTGGGGGGTGCTCTGTTATGCCACAAGAGATAACTGACCCTGAAATTGACGTCTAAAAAGGACATAGGAATGGCCATGTGACAAAGCATCGCACACTCTTTAAGGACTGCATTGCTCACACACAGTCACTGTAGAATAGATTAGGGAATTATATTCCAGGAATGCTTATGGTCATTACTTTTACATAGAGAGAAGTTCTTGGCCAGAGCAGTAATGTTTCCATCCATAACTGTCTTACAGGACAGAGTTTACTCTCATTTCACAGCTACTGGAACTGAAGTCCAGAGACACGGACTGAGAGGCCAAACCCTGACTTAAGGAATCATGAGACCACAGAGACTCTTTCTGAGAGTCTACAAGGTGGAAACTATTTTGATGGTTATATTAGGGTATTATTTGCCTCTTTCACTGTGTCAGCATTTGCAGTAGATTCTGGTGGGTTCCCACCATTCCATAACATAAACCCACCATTCCAAAGAGCGGCTCGGTGGGTTTAAACTACCTTACGCAAACACTGTGGTTCATGCTGAACACCTCCTTTCCTTCTGGGAGTCTGGAATGTCGGCACACACCGGGCAGGGTTACCTCCGTGAATGACTCGTAAAAATCCCGGAGCCCAAGGCTTACGTAAGCTTTTCTTGTAGGCAAAAAGTTGTTTAATTGATCGATACTGTGTATCGCTGAGGGTATTAAGTGTGTTGGGTGTGACTCCACTGGGGAGCGCTCCTGCAAGCCTATGCTTGTTTCCCTTTGCATCACAAACCTTCCCCTTTGCTGATTTTGCTTTGGGTGCTTTTGTTATAATAAATCATAGCTGTGAGTACAATTAAACAGTGGGTCCTGGGAGTCTTCCCAGCAAATGACCAAACCTGGGGGTGTTGCTGGGGACCCCCGACACATTACATGAACTCCAAATAGGACAGTCTCCTCAGACCTGTGCCAAAATATGTCATATTAAATTTTTGAAAACTAAAGATGACAAAAGAACCTCGGAATCTGAGAAATATAACACGTTACAAGGAATGTTCTCAAGAAAGACCAATTGGCATGACCTGGATTTCTCATCTGAAACCACAGAAGTCAGAAGAAAGTGGCACAATAATTTTCAAGTGCTAAAAGAAAAGAACTGCCAACCCCAGTTGGCAGATTCTATGTCTGGCTTAACAATTCTTTAGGAGTGAAATAAAAGAACACTTAGGCGGAGGAGGATGATCAAAACATGTTCTGTGAAACCCACTGTTCTGAATATCCAGTATACACTGAAACAGCAGCAATAGGGAAGGGCCATATTTGGATAAAAGGGAATTCAAAAGTATTCTAGCTGGCAGACTGACCTTAAAGACTGGCTACAGAAAATTCTTCAGTCAGAAAGGAAATGGTGAGAGAAAGAATCTCGGAGCATCAGGAAGGAGGAAAAGTAGATTTAAGAGTACATAAAATAGACATATTTGATGACTGATAAATACTTATATTTGATAACTGAAAAATAGTGAAAACATCTGATCCCAAAGCCATGATACGAAAATGTGGGGAACATAAGGCTATCTAAATGGAAGTAAGGTGTGCGCATTTCGCTCGGTGGTGAAAGGCTGGTATTAGCAGACTAACATCACATATGTACGTGTAATCTCCCGAGCCACCACTATGGAAACTACAGAAAGAGATACACTCAAAAACACAATAAACCTATCACGATGGAAACTTAGAAAATACTCTAATTACCAACACGAAGGGAGGAAAGAGAAACAGAGGACTGAGAACCACAGGAAACAGAAAACAAATCATAAAATGGGAGAGTTAAGTGCTCGTAATTGCCTTAACTGCACCTGCCTACATACGCTCAGTTAACCCAGCCTACAGTCCATGGGTTGGCAGCAGATAAGAAAGTGCACACACCTACCATTTGGCTTTCTGGAGTCTGTTCCCTGGAGGTCTGAGGAGACACTCTGCCCCTTCCCCGGGGGGCTGCCTGGAGACCTTCTGTCGTCTCTTGGCTCAGGGCTCTGGGCTTTGTGGCTGGCAGATGGCTGCTTTCTTGGGTCCCTGCTTTGCCTGCTGGGCTCGTCATGGGGGCTGAGAAGACAGGGAAGGGCCTGAGGTCTGTGGGAATTTGGGCTCAACTGTCCTTTCTGCTGCTCTGCCTCTTTCCGCTTGTTTTCTTCTTCCCGCTTTCTGGAAGCCAAGAAAAAGAGGAGGAGGAAAAAGTTTAAAGCACACCACTTGCTCAAGCGTCCTTGAGCTGGACTGAAATTTTAGGAGGAGCTTCCACCTCACAGGAGGGGTTTAGAAATTCACACTTTCCAGGACTGGTCTTTTCTCCAGATAGAACAGAAGTCCTCCTATTTTATTATTTATTTATTTATTTATTTATTTATTTATTTATTGCGGTACCAGGAATCAAACTCACGACCTTGCAGTTGCCAGGCAGGTGCTTATGCCACTGAGTTATATCCCCAGCCCCAAGTCCTCCCATTTTACACCAACCTTATAGCTCAAGGGTTGATGGAGCCAAAAAGAAATGTACAGATTAATCTTCACACTGCTGAGACACATCTGACAGATTGGTACGCTACTTCACGCGACAGATCCTTGCCAGGGTGTGCGTGCCCACGCATGAGTGCGATCCCGGAACTACCTGAGACTCCACCCTTTTCCCCCCGTTACAGGAAGCACAGGAGAAGGCAACTGAGAGCAGTCATGGGGATGAATTTCAGTCTGTGACACTTACTGAAAAAAGACCATCCGCCAACCTTAATGATAATATGAAAAACTTACTTGCACAGGACCACACAATTGATGAAAAAACACCTATGAAGGGCAATATCGCCACTGAGAGCGCCAGCCAAGAATCAGACCCACTCCCTGTGCAGATGAGGCCCAGCCAGTAGGATGATTTTCAAAAAGTCATCATCGGAGGCTAAGCTGCAGCCATGGAGAAGCAGCTGCATGAAAGAGGCTGGGAAGAGGGCAGGTCTAGAAAGGAGTAGCAGCCTGCTACATGGGGACAAGGCAGCAGAAGGTGTTACGGTTTACGTCTGGATGTCCCCCAAAGCCTCATGCAGTCAAGAGGTGGGCTTCTAGAGTTTATGACTGATCCACGGTCCAATGCTGGGCTCATGGGTGTGAGTGATACACCCTCCCTGGGGCGAGTTGCCTGCATGCAGTATAAGGGAAGGGAAGGAAAGAGGTGTCCTCTTGCTGCTCCTTCCTTTTTGTTCTTGCTGCTTTTGCTGTTTTCTGCTGCCATGAACTGTTGCCCTCTGCCATGGGCCACCCAGCCTTGGAGCCAGCTGAGTGTGGACTGAAACCTCCACAAACTGTGAGCTAAATAAATCCTTCCTTCCTTAGTTTTGGGTATTGGGTATTTTGGCTCAGCAACAAGAGAAAAGTAATCAAGACAGGATTGTAGTCAGGCCAGAGGGGGGTCAGGAGCTTGAGGATGAAGGGCTAAGGGCTGGATTTGTTTGACCAATATCACTATCACTGATTGTAGGGATTGTCAAGGGCAGACAGTAGGGGAAAAAATGAATACTTTCTGATTCTCTGCTGAGAACTAGTACAGAATGGGGACCATAGAGTTCAGGTCCTCTGTGAGGAACTGTCTATCTAGAAGGGGACAGAGGTTTAACTTGTCATGGAAGAAATGTGACAGAGTGTCTACAGAAAAGGTAGGGAAGAATTTTGTCAGGAAAAATCAAGAAGGTCCCAGCTGTTGGTCCCCAAAAATGTGTAAGAGTCTGCCAGACAGAGACATAGGAAGGAAGATTTCAAATTGAAGGAGGAATTTGGGCAAAGGCAGGTAGTATGGGAAAACAACCTGGTTTGCTGCTTTTGATCTTTGATTAATGCATTTGACATACAACCTGCACTCGATACGTACCTGCTTCCCAGATAATCCAGTTACTACTCAAGGAGGTTGAAACTTCTGATTAGGAATGCGGTGGAGAGAAGATGTGATGGAAAGTGTAAGAGGTTTTCTGGTTCTGCTTCTGCCAGTAACTACCAAGTGACTGAGTGAATCACTCTCCTATCAGAAACCAGTTTTGCTGGGTCTAACACTTGAGTGATAACTCAGGTTCCAGCTGGTTTAGAAATAAGCTGTCTGCAGAATTTGGGATTTCTGAGGTAGTGTAATATTGGATCCCCCTTACAGGGGACCCCTGTTGGGACAAACACTTTGATAAGCTTGGGGCAAGACTGAGGGCTGGTAGACAACGAGATGTTTCGGGGAAAAAGGATGCTCTGCGGGAGACAAATTTGTTGGTAGGTCCAGACAAGAAGGAAAAAAAATGAAAGGACAAAGGAGAGGGAAGGCAGGTGGGAGCGAGAGAAAATGAGAGGTTGGGCAGAAAAGGGCCAGGGCAGAGAAATGAATCCTCCCATGGTGAGGTGAAGGACTTTAGGTCTTTGCTCCGCACACTTAATGGGCTGCATCATCTGGGTTTTATTAGGTATGAGTTCGATGCAGCACGTCTGGGGAGGACCTGAAGAGTTTCCCACATGTGTTACCCACGTACCACAGGTATTGCTGGTTCTCTGAGCACACCTTGAGCAGCAAGCCTTAAGAGAACGGGAGAGCCTAATATGGACTGATGGCACCACACAGGGTAAGAAACGCGATTCTTCCGAGCACTAGTTTTTCATTTTTATTAGTACAAGTTTGTTTTTAAATGAGCAAACTGACAAACTGTACAATTTAGACACCAGACATGGCTGCAAGAGCTGAGGCAGAAACTCTAAGCTACCAAGCAGTTGTAGAATCCAGACTTCCCCAGAGTTTGGAATTGGAACCAAAGCTTATCTAGATTTTTTGTTTTTGTTTCTCTTCCGGTACCAGAAATTGAACTCACGACATTGCACTTGCCAGGCAGGCGCTGTGCCGCTGAGCTAAATCCCCAGCGCCGCTTATCTAGATTTTAAGGGACAGAGAAGAGCCGAGTGACTCGGAGTAGCCTCTGACCTGAGTCCAGGCTTGCTTATCTCAGGGCTTTCTGTGGCGCCCCATCCCATAGAACATGGCCAGATGGGCTGTACTAACTCTTGTACAGCTCTGATGTTTATTTAACTCTGGCTTTGCTACCTCCCTGCCAAGCGCTGACCCCGCTGCCACACTGCAGTCAGCAGATGAGCTGGTGGCCTGTCGGCGTCTGTGTCTGGAATTCGTACAGATGCCAGCAGGTGCTCTTCAGTGTGATCTGTCAGGGACGAGGCTCCTTCTGAGAAGGTGGAGGCCTCTGGGTGGCTGGTGTGTTGCACATGGATCCAACAGCTTGCTCCGGGCAGTGTGAAGGGGTGCTGCTCTGGGTACAGCACCGAGGAACAGAGCTGCTTTAGGCGAATGATACCGGCTTTTTAGACAGACACCCGCCCCTGTGTGGTGGTTTGCGTCGGCGTCTACATGGATTTCAGTGTCACTGGATGGGGCTCTCAGGTGATAAATTAGACTTGTTATTTGAACAGTTCTTTTTCTTTCTTTGAAAGCCAAACAGCCCTCCTTGATTCTAAGAAGCTATTGTCCAAACAGCACCTGGGCAAACTCTGCCACCGAAGGCCCTTCTGAGCTTTCAACAGAGGCAGCCCCACAGCGAACAGTGGATGCGCTTTTCAGAGTGATAAGGGTATCCAGAGAGCACGCGGGCTCAGCCGTTGGAGGAGGCTCACAGGGGACTGAGTTTCCATTTTGGTAGAAATAAGCAGAATTAGGAGAAATGATGTAGTCATCATTACATATAATTAGATCTTGAGTATCTCAAAATAATTTCATTCTCTGTAAAAAGGATGCATTTTGCACTAAAGAATCTTCCAGGTGGCACCAAGTCTCGGTTGTCAGTATTGAATACTTCTCTTCCCAATAGTCAGGCGTCAGACTCGCAAGCAGCTGGGGTGTAAGAGGTTCAGAGAATTGTGGTTTCATATTCAAGTATATCATAGCAGTGAGCCTCTCTGCTCTTGTATTTATGACAGGAACTGTTATAAAGCTCTCCAGGGGTAATTTATTCATGATCAATATACAGGGAATTGAAGAGCAAATGCATAAATATGTAAGTGCTAGAGTACGTTGTGAGGAGAAGTAGGGCTGGGGATATAGCTCAGCGGCACAGCGCCTACCTGGCAAGCGCAAGGTTGTGAGTTCAATTTCCGGTACAAAAAAAAAATAGTAAGGTAAGTGGTACATAGATGAGTTTGCTGCCTTGAGTCAGGCAATAAGCTAAAGTGGTGCTCACCGACATTCACGGTGTTAAAATGGAGATCCAAGAATGTCCAGTCCAACTCTCCCATGTGACAGACGGGGAAACTAAGGCCTAGAGTGATTCATGACTTATGTAAGGTTTTAGGCCCACTGAAGGGGAAGTTACCGAATGCTTATTAAATTCCGACTATACCAAATGCTCCAAGGCACTGGAGATATGAAGACATGAAACACACAATCCCTTGTCTTAAGGCACTGAAAATCAAGCAGGAGAACTGGATCCACACACTTGTGCACACAGAGTTCTGGATGTGTTGAGTGCTAAGACAAGGCATTTGCACAGAGCTATGGAAGGATGCAGGAGGCAATTACTAATCAAACCAGGAGCAAAAGGCTCCATATGAAGAATGTCAAAATGAGAAAAGAATGAAGAGAGAGAGGGTTATTCAGGCAGAGGAAGAGCGTGAACCTAGCTCTCACTTTGACTCAGAAGACATCCCAGAAACCAGTTCTTCATGTAAATTTAAAAATTTCTTATATAATATCCTGTAGAGATGATAATTCATCTTCTGTCGGAACATTTCCAGTGAGGGGGGCTGATTACCTCAGGGCACAGACAAGGTTTTGCTATAACCTTTTCAGTTGCCGTTGCACAGTATTTAGGGGTCTGTCAGAGTCTATCTCTGCGTTGTCGCTGAGTAACAGGCACAGACATTAACTTCCTCTCAAGAGACAAAGACAACGTTGTGTGCCTAAGCTCCTCAGACTTGTGCATGATAGAAGGGGAAGGGATCATGCAGTCCAGTGGTTTTTATATTTTTGTGATTCATAGACCCCCTTTGAAAATGAGATTTAAAAAAAAAAATCTATAGATCCTCTCCCCGCAGATGAATATACGTTCCTGGCACGCAAAATGCTGCATGCAGTCTCAGGGCACTCATGCAGCCCGGAAGCCCATCCTAGATCAAGAAACCTTTTCATT